TATTTGAAAATCTAGAATCTGAGGGTGCAAAAATATTGAGAAAATCGCCTTTAAAGTTGTCCAAATGAAGTCCTTAGCAATACATATTACTAATAAAAAATGAAGTTTTGATATATTTACGGCAGGAAATTTACAAAATATCTTCATGGAACATGATCTTTACTTAATATGCTAATGATTTTTGGCATAAAAGAAAAATCTATAATTTTGACCCATACAATGTATTTTTGGCTATTGCTACAAATATACCTGTGTGACTTAAGACTGGTTTTGTGCTCCAGGGTCACATATATTAGGGCTGTAACGGCACACAAACATGACGATTCGATACGTACCTCGGTTTGAGGTCACGGTTCCGTATGGTTTTGGTACAGGAGGGGGGAAAAAACTATACATATTTTTACATTTTTTATTAAACAGTGGTTTACTGGACAATTTTTTTTTCTTTAAATAAATTCAATTACTATTGAAAGTTCTTAGGGATAAAAATCTACCTCAGCTTATGCTCTGAACTATAGGGAGCCCTTTTACATAAGGTTAAAATTAACAACAGAGCCCAAACTTAAATTTAATTACTATTTATTTTTAAATATAATAATCAACACTCAGCTTGAAAAAAAATTTATGCAAACATGTTAATTGCACATAATGCAGTTTTCAAATTAACTTCTAAATTGTAAAATTTCTATTTGTTGTTGAAATATGTTCATTTACACAGTGGCTGTCATAACAGATTTATTTAAACATACATTTAATAATTAAGACATCACTTAACAGGTAAAGTAAAATACAATGTGTATATAGTCTAATATTTCTCAAAATCCTCTTCTCTAGACTTCCTTTCTCTAGCAAATAATGAGCTGTGGACACTGATGACTTGCCTGAGGTAAATGAAATGCTATGTGACATTTTGTTTTATTGACATCTTTCTGGAGTGAAACACAGACTGAGTGATTACGTGAGGCATGAGGTGTTCATTCATGTTTATTTTGTGTTAAAACTAGGGGAAGGGATTATCACTCTCACTTGTGCTTCGTGCTCGAACTGAGGCGTTTATACAGCAAACTGTCACGCCACATCTAAGAGCGTCAAAACGTCATTTTATTGTATGAATTTCCTAGAAAAAAATTTACATATTTGAAAGATGATACTTTGTTTCTTATTAAAAGTAACAAAATATAAAACTGGAAGTTTCCAATGAAGTTCCACTCGTGCAGTGGTTAAAACAATGCTGTATTTGTCGGTATACATGCGTACCGAACCGAAAGACCCGTACTGAAACTTTTCAGTACGAATACGTGTACCCAGGGCCTAAAATTAACACTCACCAAGCGCCAAATGCGAGTAAAAATCAGCGTTGGTGAGTATATGTAACAGTATCAGTCGCCAGTTGGCGGGTACAACTTTCACGAATTATAACAATGCAATGAAGTGAAAACAACAGCCAGTTTTTAAAGAGATTCGCTGTTTCTGACATAAGCGAATAAAATAATCTTTTCCGAAGACAAGATCATCGTGATTAGCTGTTCTGTCATAAGCGACAAGAGCGAATCAAATAATAGGA